TGAGTCAGCCGCTGTCCTGTGTGTGCCAGTCGCCACCTGTCTGGATCTGACCGTCCTTGTGTCCCCAGCCCTGAGCGTGGAGCCCGAGGAAAGGTGGGCTCTGCAGACTGGCCGAGTCTACCAGATCACCGTGGGCGTCCACGACCGCGCCTCCCACGCTGCTCAGCTGTCCGAGGTACACCTGTCTCCCGACCGCCTGTCCCCTGGTGCCCCCGCTGGCCTGACGCCCCCCCGGGCCGGCCTGTGTGTGTTCCAGAACGTGAGGATCGCAGTGGAGCTGTCGGAGCTGCACTTCGAGACGCTGCTGTCCTCCCCCAACGGCTCCTACCACGTGGTGCAGACGCTGCGCCCGGGACGAGCCCTCGTCAGAGCCGCGCTGGGATCCATAACGACCGAGGTACAGTGCGAGAGGGCGACCCGTGCGGAGTCGCAAGGTGATTGATGTGCAAACCCCTGAAGAGAGCTTTTTCCAGCCCTAACCATGCCTTACCCTCACCCCCCCCCCATCTCCTGAACTCTAGAATGGTATGGTCCTGCCTCTGAGTCCTCCAATCAGCCACCAGCAGGAAGTGGAGATCTACAGCCCCATTGTCCTCATGCCCAGCGTTGTCGCGTTGCCCTGGCATCCGGGAGACGGGCTGTACCACTACAAGATACAGGTGACAACCGGACAGTGCAGCTCCCTCTCGTAACCATGTTGTGTAGAGACGCTCATCTTCCACAGTAATCCCACTGCTAGGGACCCTTGAGTCTCCAATGATCCTGCGCTCTCACATACTGCTCTGTAGTGCTGTGTCGGTTACCCTGCTGTTGTTGTGCTCCCTGGCTGTGCAGTGTTGTCTTGCGTTGTTGTTGCAGGTTGAAGGGGGCAGTGGGAACTTCAGCTGGGCGTCCTCTAATCAAAGCGTCGCCATGGTGACGGTGAACGGGACAGTGGTGACCGGTTCAGTTCTGGGCGTCAGCATCGTTGAGGCTAGAGACCAACAGAACCCCTCCCACTGCGGACTAGCCAGGGTGAGACATTGCTGCACACTGAGACAGACAGGCCTGTGCCTGACAACTTACAGGTCAGCTTCATGTGTTAAAGTCCAG